GGAAGGAAGGAAGGAAGGAAGGAAGGAAGGAAGGAAGGAAGGAAGGAAGGAAGAAAGGACATTATAATGAGAGTGAGGTAGGGTCTGAGGGAAGTCCTGCCTTAGTACTTGGTCACCACAGGTTCCCCCCAACCCAAGTGATGTCGAGCTGGCCATGCCCATCCTAGCCATGCCTACCCTGGCCACATCTACCCCAGCCACATTTCCCCAGGCCACAAAGTCAAGCACAACCTTGATGCGGCCCTCAATGAAATCAAGTTTGACACCCCTGCTTTGGATGCAAAGAGAAAATATTTGCTGTGAGCTCCGCATAGGCATCAAGAAAGGCATCCGGGCATTTAAATGCTCAGCTCCATTCAATTGCCTCAACTCCACGGTGATGCAAGGGATTTCAGAGTCTTTAAAAGAAAAAATATTGAACCTGAGCTTGCCCTTGAAAAGGAAATAAGAGTCTTGGTCCATCTAATGAAGAAAGCTGAGCACAAAAGATTCAGGTTTTGCTTTAGTAGAGTTTAAGAATGACAGTGATGGCAGCTTTAGGAGAGGATTAGGTACATTCGTAAAGAAAGGAGGATATTAAACTTACTATATCTTATCTTACTCCAGGGTCAGACGAATCAGAAAAAGAGGAGATAATTCTTGCCATCTTGGCTTCCCAGAGGCATTTGCTGGCTTTGACATCAGCAGGAAAAGGACTCTGGGTTAAACCTGCAGAACTGTTTTAGTCATTTAAAAATGCCCCCAAATGATATTTGCAAACAATAAGTTCCTTCAAAGGTGATTTTTATTTTACCAACTGTCTCTTGTTTGTATCATCAGGGTCATATGGGCTTGAGTTTCCAAGGTCCACAAGGGGAAAAGGTAAGGTTGCTCTTTCGAAAGTCATAAGCACAGGCAAAGTGCTGGCTTCACTGCAGGCTCCAGTGTCCTCTATTTTACCTCTTGTTTCATCCCAGCCTCCCTTACTAAAAGAAACTTACACAAATTCAGAGGAAACCTGTCATGGAATCCACTATTACTGAATGTTAGCCAGCCACATGAAAGTGTGTGTGTTTTTAAATGAAATATGCGCACCAAGGAAAGGGATCGCAGCATTTGACTGTGCATTGCCTTCATACCTGTGGAGATTTGGTATCTCTGAATGGTCAGTAAGAGAGTGATTACAGAGTTACTACAATTAGAATTAGGCTGCACTATAAAACCCAATAAGCTGGGGGAGTGAAGCTTATGCTATTGGATGTATAAACGGGTTTTAGGGCCAGTTGCTGCTGTGACTCTTCTTAAAACATTGGGTTTAAACCCAATCCTCAATTTTAATTACAGTAATGCCTCTCCAACTACAGCAAAACAAGGGTAAATTCTGGCAAGAGTCTTTCTCTGAGAATAGGTTCTTCAAGTATTTAATGTATTCATAAACTATTTCAACAGAAGGGTAAGGCGGGGAGGTTAAAAACCCAAAGTATTCTGAACTGCTCCAAAAACATGTTGGAACTGACTAACTTGTCAGCCAAAGGGCAAATGCAGCTCAGTTTAAATAAGCAGAAAGTGATAAATATTGAGGCCAAATCCCCTAAGTTCACATGCATACATATATAAAAAATAATAGAAGAGAGCAATCAAAATAATCAAGAAGCTCAAGCAAAATGTTCGGATCAAAGCAACTAAGGGGAGATTTGATGATGTGCATTGATGGAGCATGGAGAAAGTGGGCAGGGAAAAATACTCTTCAAAATGCTACAGCCAGCAACCATCTAAGAAAGATTTAAAACATCTACTACATGCACGCACATATGTACACATTCACACACGCAGACACACACACGCATGCACATGCGAACACACAAACACACACACACGCTCTTAGCCAAAAGGCCAAGAAGCCAAAGGAATGATTTCTTCATGCAGCACATAATTAATGTGACACTGAAATGGACCTGATTTAAATGTTGTGTCCTGGGGGTGGGGACGCTGAAAAAAGTTTTAACTTTTTTTGGAGATTCAACAATTTTGAAGGAATAAAAGGCATGTCTTAAGATTCTGTGATATTTAAAATACAAAAGTTCCATTACATCTTGTCTCAATATGATTTTTTTCTCTGTTTTCCATTAAAGTTAGTAACCCAATGTGTTGGGGAATTCAGAATACTCATGAAATTACATTACAATAACTTAGTTGTATTGCTTTTGGAGAAAATTATTGATCCATTCTATAGTTTCTAATATTGAAACATCTGTCTACATCTGTGGGATATGAGAAAGCTGATATACAAACACTACATGAATCACTTATTGCATAAAATACAGTATATTTCAGAAAACCTTTAGAGAATCATTATAGATTCATTATTTATTTGAGATTGCATTCTTTTATTGTGTACAATGTTATCTCCTGAAATGATGGGACTAGACAGAGATAATTTAATCTTTAATGAGTATATCTAATTTGCTTGAAGAAGATTACCGGTAACTTTAAAGCAAAGCAAAACAACATTTGAAATGAGTTTTTAAAATGATGTACTTCCCCAAGTTTTTTTAAACTACGGTAAGTAAACTACAATGCCTTTTGCTGATTCGTTTGCCAATTTGTTTATTGGGGATATTTGCAGGGTGAGCGTGGTGTCATGGGCCCCCCTGGTCCCCAAGGAACAGATACCCAGCATCAAGAGAAAGGGACCATCGTCATACAGGGAGACAAAGTAAATATGCACTTCTTATTTCTGTAAACATTACATTGCTTTTAGAAGATGCCACTTATGATGAGGATTAATGACAAAATAAAAGTTTAAATAAACAATGTGAGCACCATTCATTTTCTATCTATGTTCATTTGTAAATTATCTCTGGAACACTTGCGTATTTTCAATTTGTTCACTGCAATAATCTCTTAAGGCAGATGGGCTTCGTAAAATAAGGAAAGCATTATAAAAGACCAAATTAGCCATTCCAGTTATAAGAAATGCTGTGGATGGTAGGTTAGAAAATCCATAGTACAGATTAAAACCAACAAAACTGATATCAATTAAATGTCTAAATCTGTTACTATATTGCAAAGTAAAAAGAGGTTTTTCCCCCCTTTATGTTCTGAAGTTGCTCAGCATGTTGTCCTAAGGATTTCAGAACCTGGTCACTCAAAGCTTAATGCTTAGCAAATCTATGTTACATTTAACAGTTTATAATAACCAGATATGTTGCACCGTTGAGATTTCTGGGGTGCGTGGGGGATGGGCACAAATATATACTTATCTAGATTTGGAAAATGCATTTTGTAGACATCAATGGTGCTCTGCTATAGTAATTGTCTATTTGTTTTTTAAATTCTAATAGGGTGATCCTGGTGAAAAAGGTGACGATTGCATTCCAGTAAGTGTAAATATTTTGTGATCTTGGGGCAAAAAAAGATTTCTCACATCAAACTAATTAACACAAAAACAAAAGAGAAACAAAATTTCAGGTCCCCTAAAATGCAAAAAAAAAAAAAAAAAAAAAACCCTGGGAAAAAGGAAAGGAAAAAGAAGGGTTGGAAATTTATCTCAGAAACAAAAGCTCCAAAACCAGATGGCTTTAAAAGCCTGCTATTTGCCTCTCCGTCAAAATAAACAAAAAAACAAACTTAGCAAAAATAATTCAATTTCAATGTTGACTCACCATATATATCAGCAATCCATTGCCACAAGGCAAGTATAGATTCACCCTTCTGATATTGTATAAAAATGTTTTTACCCTGTCCCTATGCAGGAAAATGTCACAGTTCTGATGTCTTTATAGAGTCCATGTGTTGGAAACATTAGCCAAGCAAAATATTTGTGTTCTTAACTAACAGTGATCAAGCTAAGGTCATGTTAACAACTGTTTTAATTCCAGCCTCAAATACGGCAATAGTAGGACAAGTTAAACTATATAAAATGATATTGCAAATTCTGAGTAATAGCATGCAAACCTTATTAAACATTTTTTAAAGAATCCTATATCTATAAAACAGAATTTTCAGTTTTATTAGTCTAATTTTAAGATCAAAAGAAATGAATTTTACATTCTTTAATGGGAGCTTCAGTTATTTACAAAATAGGGCTATTTACAAAACAGGGCTTATTCTAAAGTTTGTGTAATTAACCAATGCCAATTTCATGATCTTCTTTCAACTTCTCATAATAAAAGAAGGTTTCCATTTTAGGAACTTGAAATAGATATTTCAAAGGCTCTAGTGGTCATGGAGCTTTAGAAGGAGTGGTGCTTCAGGAGCAAATAACCAAATCGAATCAAACTTTAATTTTAATTTTAAATTCTACAACAGTTAAAAAAATAGTTTTATCTAAACCTAGCTGGTTTTATCTAGTCTTTCTGTCAGTCTCTAGTTGTCTGTCCATCATCATTAAGGGCAAATATCAAAAGTAATCCCAGAACAAAGATGTATATCAATACTTGCTTGATCACAAAATAGTTTTCAAGTTGAGCCCAAATGGGGTTGAATTCTGAAATTCTATATTTCAATCAGTAACTAAAGTTTAATTTTAATTTTAAAGTTAATAACAGCAACTTTATTATTTTCAGTAATCAATTAATGAAAGATGGTGATCCCACTGCTTTGGGGTTTTCATTGGTTGCCAGATGGCTTCAAGCTGGAGTTGAAGGTGCTTCTTGTCACCTTTAAAATCTCATGGCTCTAGACTCAGTTATCTGAGGGACCACCTTCTCCATGTTCATCTGCCCATCCAGTCAGATGAAATAAAGTAATTTCTGGCCGGGTTTCATCTGGTTCAAGAATGCCATCTGAAGGTGCCTAGGAAACAGGGATTTGCTGCTCTTTTGCCTTGGATCTGGTCAGTCCCTTCTCTCCTGGGTTTTGGAGACCAGATAAAGTAGCTCAGGAGGAAAGCAGCATGTTATGCAAATTCATGTTATGAATTTACAAGTAGTGGTGATGATATGACTTCATATACTTTGCTTCATTTCTTATGATGGGATTTTTAATTCGTTTGGGGTGGATTTATTGGTGTAGTTGTTGGAGAGGTTATTTTATAAAGTTTGGGGTTGTCATAAAAATAAAATAAAACAAAAAACCCAAAAGAAGCATTAACCATCACCCAAAAAGTCTTGCTGCATGATTCACTGAAGATGTAAGAAGAGTGAAGTTATCAACACACAGTAGCCATGGTTGCATACATCTGTTCTCTAATTGCCTATCAGTTGTTTCCTTGCCAAGGGTTCCTTAGTAAAGTAAATCAAGGGTCATTCCAGAGTCCCAATAACTGGAGAGATTTCCCAGAAACAACAGCATCAGCAACTATAATGTGGGTGATCAATAATGAGACTAAAGCATCATCAGAATCACCAGAATCTCTGAATTCTGAACATTTTAATTGGTCCTCCAGCTTCGTAGAGAACGTTAGCTACATCAGTAGAAATCTTACCACTGATTACTTGATTACTTCCTAGCCATCAATAATGGACTGTGAGAATAACCTTGCAAGACAGAATAGAGAGTTTCAGTCTAGACCAGAGGTTCCCAATGTGGGGCCCACGCCCACAATGGGAGGAAGGTCACACTTCCACTCTCTGTCTTNCTGCTGATCTAGCAGTAGCCTGCAGTGCTGCATTTAACCACTGCGCCACCTTGGCTCTTGCATATATAGTAGAGGAGAAAGTAAAAATCACTTGGAATGTTTCTCCCTTCTATTCTGTGCTCTTCAAATGTCATTCTTAACATTCTAGAATGAGTTAAATAATCTTGGCCTTTATTTTAATTCATTTTGATGAAAGGGTCTGTTGTTTGATCCCTGGAGTAGTAGAAGTTAACTCTGCCTTTTTCTGAAAATGCAATCTTAATTTTTTTCCTAAACAGAAAACAAGAGTAACAAACCTATAATTTCTTATCCTACATCTTTTCTATGTCTACACAAATATGAAAACATTATAAATGGCTGTTTGGAAAATAAGTGTCACAAATGTCAAACATCATCCACAATTTCTACACAATTGCATGATCATTTAGTTTTGTTTAAGCATTTTGTAAAGGATGAGCATTCTCTGTAATTGAGAAGCGGTGGTTAAATATTACATAAAATTCCTTCTTTTTATTGTTGAAAATTTTATTATCATTCCTTTATAGCTAGTTCAAGTAAAGCACTAAAAAAGTCCTCCTTTCTAAAAAATATTTGGAGTACAGTACTCCAACATTTCCTTTTCCTTAATAAACATGTTTATTTGTTTATTCAAATGATCATTCTATTTGATTTTTAAAATCATAATCTTCTCTTGGCAGCTTACAACAAAATAATATAAAACTATTACATTATATTAAATAGAAAAAATGTAAATACAGGAAAATATTCTTGGAATACCTATCAAAAATAAATGCCATGAAAAAATGCTTAAAAGCAACTACAAATGTGCCCAGCTGTATATACCACTTTGGAGGGAATTCCACACATTAGGCTGCCCACCAAGTCTATTGATCCTGCTGGCAACCAATAAGTAGGATTTCTGACACTGATTTTAAATTATAGGCATTGCCAATTATTCCAAAAACTTCCTGAAAAATAGATTAAACACAGGGCAATAATACTCACAGACTGAACTGGCCAATATTTTAATTTATGAATGGTCTAAAGGTTGCATGGGAGTAATTTTTAACAGTTGACTTCTAATACAATAAATGACACTTGTTTTTTTAATGTTTAGCCACTCCAGCAGCTGTTTTAAGATTAAGCAAGCATCTCTGTGGCAAGTGTTTTATGCTCCATGCCGACAATAGACTCACAAAATTTCAAATGTGTCTGTTGGTTTTTTTAAAAAGTTATACCTAGTTTTTATTGAGCAGATCATTCTCCATTCCATGTGATTCTTTTAATTAGCACTATAGAATACAATGTAAGTAGAAAATTGCTTAACAGTCTCAGCAAGAGGTTTCCAATTTATTCCAGTAACTTCTGTTAACGGTTATTTGGCACTAGTCTTCAAATCATTGAGCCAGTCCTTTCATTACCACCAGATCTTCATAGTAGTTGAAAACAAAATTTGATGATTTGGGGAAGAGATTTGGTACCTTTGGTACCTTTGACTATCCAAAGTCACCTTCTCATTCAAAGCAATGATCAAGGTTGCAGCCAGACAAACCTGACACTCCAAAAATGTCAAAAGCCCATCTAACTTCTTTTTCCCCCTTTTTCTTTTTAAACTAGCAGTGCACTTTTATGCCTTCTGCAAATACTTTAGTTTACATTTACAGTTTGACATGATAGCTAGAAAATGCTCTCTCAAGCATTTATTTATTTATTTATTTATTTATTTATTTATTTATNTGAACATATATTTCCAGGTTGGGGTTTCATGCAGCGGTGTTTTTGTTTTTATGGCTGAAGTTGTTTTCTTATGGTCCCATTGAATTTTTCATTCAGAAAGGAACCATAGAATAATAAATTAAAGAGGACAAAATATATTAAATAAAATAGCCATGAATTTCACTGGGGCGCCTGAAAAGCTCTTCACTAGCATTTAGTCTCGTGTAAGCTATTTGTTGTAGGCAGTGGTGGGCTCCAAATTTTTTAACAACCGGTGCTCTGTCCTAATGACTGGCTGTGTGGGTGTGGGGTGGGTGGGTCATGTGATTGAGTGAGCGTGGCCAACTCAAGGTCACTTGTGTGGGTAGTACCTGTATGGGACAGGAGTCTCCGGTGAGGGGAGTGGGAGGAAAGAAAGATCCAACTTGTTTCTGTGTGTGAGAGAGAGGGGAGAGGGAGAGAGAGAGAGAGGGAGAGAGAGTCTGTGACAAGCTAGACTGGGAAAGCTGGCTGCAAGAGGAAGAGAATCTGAGTAAGTTGTTTTTTGGATGTTTTTTGGCTGTTTTTCAGGCCATTTTCAGGCTGATTTTGGCCCGGAAAAAAAGGCCTGTTTTTGGCCCGATTTCAGGCCATTTTGGGGGCTTTTTCAGGCTGTTTTTCAGGCTGATTTTGGCTGGAAAAACAGCCTGAAAATGGCCCCAAAATGGCCAAAACCAGCCCAAAAAACAGGCGGGGCGGGGGCAGCTGGTAGTTCAATTTGCTGGTTCTCCAAACCGTGCAGAATTGGAACAACTGGTTTGGGCTAGCCGATCTGCACCAACAGCAGTCCATCTCTGGTTGTAGGTTTATGTTTTGTGAAGTTGCAAGGTAGTAAAGGAAAAAACATTGCTTTCCACACAAAAAAATGATGGGAATCTACATAAACAAATAGGAAAATTTAGATTTAGTTCATCATAAAACTGTGGAATGTCTTCAGCAGAGGTGCTATGCAGTATCCAAAAGTAATGCAGAAGTGCCTCCTGTCTGTCTGCATCTGAGTGCTTCATCTGACTTGTGTGTACACCCATTGCAGGGACAAGGAGGAGTTGTCAGGTAGAAGTTTGCAAAGCAGCTTTGTGAGCTTTGCAGAAGATTCAGTTGATTTTAGACATCTAATGGAGATGTTTGTTTATTTGTTACTGTACCAAAACTACTTGAATGAAAGTTTTAAAAAAAACAACAGATGTGGGCAAATGGTGTTTTGATCACTTTGTTTTGTCTTTTCCTTGTAAAAATTGTAAACACTTTCTCTTATACTATAAACTTGACTGATAATCAAAAGAGGATTAAAGAACTTTGAGGCCAGACCATGAAGGCACACTGCACAATTTCCCCAACAGCCTGCTAGGTCCCACTGAATCTCCAATGGCTTGGAATGGCGAAAGCACTTCCCAGGCGTTAATGTACACTTTGCTGAAATTGGTGGAAGGTTTTCATTGTTGTTATTTGTTACTAACAGGGAATGGCTGAGAGGAAGTCTTAGTTGGAAAAAGAAAGGGAGAGGCAGCCTTTCAAAAACTGGAACTTTATTTGAAGAAACATTCCTTAGTAACTGCAATGAGTTTCAGAATAGTGACTGTTGATATCAGCTGGAAAGGTTTGAAAGTGTGTGAATAGAGAGTATGTGCCTTTACAATTGCAGAAGTCTATTACACAATCCAGCAGAAGTGAAGGAGTAAGTGTACATGTGGCTGCGGAAAAGTGTCCTATGCTCTGTGCTTCCAAAAGGCTCTGCTAGAGATAGAACTGCCCATAGCCAGTTCTAACTCTGGTCAGATATACTATGTGTGTATTTCAGGAGGTATTCCACAAATTTTCACATCAAAGTGGCTCAGACACACTTTTCCAAACAACATTTCCCAGATCTATGGGGACAGACTGAATATGTGAAAGAAGGATACTTACATGGATGAGTAGGAAGTCACCCGGAGCTTTATTAGGATGCTAGAGAGCAGGATTAGTTGTTGATTCCACAGCATTATTCCCACCATTTTTCCCAAGAACCCGAGAAAGCTTGAAAACGCTATTATTGTGCAGGGAAATACTTCATGCAACTCATTAATTCTTCATTAGTCTCAGCAACTCAGTAGGAGAAACAAGACTTTCCATGCTGACTAAATAAGTAAAATTATTCGTTTTACAGGGAAGGCCTGGAAAAGATGGAGAGGATGGAGAGAAGGGAGAACGTGTATGTAGGTCACTTTATCATAAATATTGTACTCATTTCCATATTCATAGAAGATTTGCTGCTGGTAATTCTTGATTTCAAGATAAATACCTATGAATTGTTCTGCATGTCAATTTTGCAAAAATAACTTCACACAGTCTTTAGTTTTGTTTTGGGAAAGGGGAAAACATTTTCAATTATTGTGTACAAAATGGGCTTTTTCTTACTGTGATACCTGCAGGGATTACCTGGTCATCCAGGAATTACTGGACATCCTGGTGTACTTGGATCTAAAGTAAGTAGCCACCATATAATAAGCACAACAAATCAAATAAATGAGTTTAAATAGATAGAGGTGTGTGTGTGTGTGTGTGTGTGTGTGTGTGTGTGTGTGTGTGTGTGTGTGT